TGGCCAAGACGGTGGTGCCACAAGAGAGTCTCGTGAGACAGGAGGCGACACGAGCAGGGGGCAGACTCAGGACCAGACCTGGACGCAGCAGCAAACACCTGACCCGACGCAGCTACCTGGCCAGACGCAGGGACTGGAGGAGATTCAATGGTCAGGGTGTAGAGACTCGACTCGGGCCGACGCGAAAACGTGGCTAGGTGTCGGCCTGTGCGGGCGTCCGAGCAGTGGGTCCCCCGCTGACTCGCAGGAGTAAACTGGTGAACCCCCGCATCCTGCAGGTCAGCACCACTCACCAAGTTCGTCGAGAACGAGGGGAGGTACAGACCCGACAGGGTGCCCGAGGGGGCAGCCGGACACGGGAGGACAGTGGAGAAGTGAGCGAGGACAGGACCCCCAGAGGGGTTCGCCAGGGAGACTGCAACCGGCCGACCAAGCGGCGTGAGTGTGGTGCGGTCTCGAAAGAAGGAGCGAGAAGCCCCTGAGTCAAGTGTGAAGGTGAGGGAGGCCGAAGCCGACGCAGTACCTGCGAGCGCAGCCTCACTAGTACCTGAGAGCGCAGCCTCACTAGTACCTGAGAGCGCAGACGCACTGACACCTAGAGTAGTAGCCTCACAAGCACCTAGCGCAGCAGTACCAATGCCCGGGTCGGGCGGGAAACACCGGTAACAGTCACCCTCATCACTAATAGTCACAGCATACATGGCAGCAAGGATAGCATCAAAGTCAAGATCAAAGATAGCCACGCCGGCCCTAGACAGCTCTCCCCAGCGGGGGATCTCCGTGGCCTCCGGAAACTGCTGACGCCAAGCGTCCGTCAGGCGGCCAAAACAGCGCTGGGTGGGGTGGGCACCCCCACACTGCTCACCCGCGCGGTCGCCGGTGCGAAGGACGTAGGTGCAGGGACCAAGTCCCCCACCACGCTGACGGTGCGTGTACCACTCACGGAGCTGCTGAGGGGTGGGGACGTCGCGAGAACGCTGCTGCTGCTGGCACTGACCACCCCCAGTGCCGCTCCGCTGTGAAGTGCCACTCCGACCACCTCCACCACCTCCTCCTCCACCTCCTCCACCTCCGCCACCGCCGCCACCCCCGCCGGTACCGCCGCCGCCGACGCCGCCTCCGCCACCACTGCTGCCACTAGTACCCCCACCCCCGCCACCTCCTCCACCGCCACCCCCACTCCCTCCGCCGCCTCCACCTCCACCGCCACCGCCCCCGCTAGCCCCACGCGCTCCCTTGCCCCCCTTGCCCTTGCCAGGGCGACGTCTCCCACTAGGGGCAGACGCCGCACCGACCGACTCAAGACCAACGAGGTCGGCCGCAGCGGCAGAGGCGACAGAGGGCAAGAGAGGGGAAGGAGAACACCCCTCAAAGATGGAGGCGCGGGGGTCACCTCGAGAGGCTCCTACAGCGACGATGCTCTTTTCCGCCGCTAGGAGGGCCTTCTCTAGGCTGTCGACTGTGAGAGTGGTGGGACAGACCGCGAGGAAGTGGTCCCGGACTACACGAAGGGAGTCGGGAAGGCGGGTGACTAGGAAGTAGAGAGTGATGTACATGGGGGGGGGGGTTCTTGGCGCAGAAGTCAGCAGGAAGCGCAGCGTGGTAGCGGGTGTCACTAGTGCGGAGATGCGTAATGAGATCAGCGACTGTGGGAAAGGCGGCAAGGTCAGGGAAGAGGAAGGGTAGCATGAGGCGGCTCAGTGCAGCAGTGGCAGGGGAGGAGTAGCGCGCAACTACAGCGTCGTACAAGGTCTGAGCACTCTTGTACTGACTAAAGTGCGCACGCTCAGAGGTAGGGAGGTGGCGACGCACAACAAGACGTGCAGCAGCATCGCGCGTAGCCCACTGGGAGCGAACAGTAGGGTCAGCATCAGCAGCAGGGGCAGGGGAAGCGCCAGAGGTAAGGTCAAAGAGAGAGAGGCCGTCTGCCCTATCGCACTGTAAGAACAGCTGGAGGTCATCTACCCAGACCTCAAAGTCAATGGCCCGACCCTCAGCGTCAAAAGCGAGGACACTGGGGGTAGCCATGACTACAGACGCCTAGCAGTGCAAGCAGTAGGGTGAGGGCAGCGCAGTGAAAAAGAAGGCTCTGTGCTCACCAGACAGGGCAGAACGGGCCGTATGGAAGTAGGGCAGCTCAGCGGCCGGCGGCTCGGCTGCGGGGCAGCTCGGCTGCTCGGCGGTTCGGCTGCTGGGTGGCTCGGCGGCTCGGCTGCTCGGCTGCTGGGCGGCTCGGCGGCTCGGCAGCTCGGGTGTTGGACGGCTCGGCTGCTGGGCGGCTCGGCGGCTCGACGGTCGGCTGCTGGGCGGCTCGGCGGCTCAGCGGCTGGGCGACCCGGCGGTCGGGCGGCGGGTGGGCCGCAGGTAGGGCGGCGGGCGTGCCGCAGGTAGGGCGTCTGGCGGGCCGCCGAGTAGGGCGGCGGGGCCGTCGATGTAGGGTAGGGCGGCGGGGCCGCAACGTAGGGCGGCGGGGCCGCGAAGTAGGGTAGAGCGGCGGGGCCTCGACGTAGGGCGGCGGGGCCGTCAAAGTAGGGCGGCGGTGCCGCAACGTAGGGCGGCGGGGCCGTCGAAGTAGGGCGGCGGGGCCGCGACGTAGGGCGGCGGCGCCGTCGAAGGGTAGGGCGGCGGGGCCGCGACGTAGGGTAGGGCGGCAGGGCCGCGACGTAGGGCGGCGGGGCCGTCGAAGTAGGGCGGCGGGGCCGCGACGTAGGGCGGCGGCGCCGTTGAAGGGTAGGGCGGCGGGGCCGCGACGTAGGGTAGGGCGGTAGGGCCGCGACGTAGGGCGGCGGGGCCGTCGAAGTAGGGCGGCGGGGCCGCGACGTAGGGCGGCGGCGCCGTCGAAAGGTAGGGCGGCGGGGCCGCGACGTAGGGTAGGGCGGCAGGGCCGCGACGTAGGGCGGCGGGGCCGTCGAAGTAGGGCGGCGGGGCCGCGACTTAGGGCGGCGGCGCCGTCGAAGGGTAGGGCGGCGGGGCCGCGACGTAGGGCGGCGGGGCCGCTAGAGTAGGGCGGCGGGGCCGCGACCGAAAGGCGGCGCGACGGGCCGCTGGGAGGGGGGGAGGGCGACACGACGGGTCGCTAAAAAAAAACGCGCGCCTCGGGGCGCGCTTCGGTGGGCCCAAGAAACAGTCCCTAGGAGGGGACCTGCTCTGATACCATGTGAAAAATGAGAACGAGAATGAATGAACTATGAATGAAGTGGGTACAAGTACTAACCCTAATTGGGTTGTACCCCCTATGGGATACCCCACTATAGCCTACACAAAAGCATAAGCTATAATGTTCTGACTCATTCATTCTCGTTTCAATTCTCACACGGAGTCGCGTTCCACCGTGAGGATCGCAATTTCGAGCGCCGAATCTTCGAGTTCGCGCACGAGACGGTCGAGTTGCTCCTGCGTCAGTGTCGCGAGAGTGAATTCGGCCATGGGGGGGGTGTCGGGCAAGCTCAGCGAGAGCCTCGGTCGTGGCCGTGCGTGCTTACGAGAGAGCAATTTGAGCGGCGGTGCTTATTTCGCTGAGAGACGTCTACCCCCCCCAAAAATGGGAAAGTGGGGAAGCGAAGGTGTGGGTGCGGTCCGAGAAGAGATCGTAGGCTCTGAATACCAAGTGTTACGAGTGCAATTGAATGAGCGAGCGAGTGGGAATTGCACAATCGAAGCAAGAGTACAATGAGCGAAGGTATGCGCGAAAAATATATAGCGAAGCTACAGTGGTAACGGTAATGTGTGTAAAATGGGGTGCGCGGCGGGCCTAGCGCCGAGGTTGGGAATTGTCGAGGCGGAGGTCCGGAGCGCGGGTTACCAACCGAACCGTGAGGTTGGGTCGCGTCGTGAACAGTGGCGGGAACAGTGTCGAGGCGAGTGTCGCGGGTGGTAACGGATTACTGTTGGGTGCTGTTGGCGGGAACAGTGGTATACGCGCTGAGTAGGGACGTGAAGTAAGGAAAAGGAAATTTCCTTACAATATCACAACATAGGGGCCCTGTTCGGTAGCCCCCCCAGTCACACTGCGGTTGGTGCAGGTGCTCTTCCTCGGCCCAATTTCGACTCACCTTAAAGCCCACCAAACCGTTATTTGAACACCATACCTGCCCAGTGCAAGTTGGCTACCGAACGCGTGAAAAACCCAGTCCGAGTGAAGTTGAGGACGCTACCACGAAAATGCTTGCTCAGGCAAGCTCGACCGCCAGTGAAAGTCAACCCCATTTCTGCTTTCCAGTTCCACTCAGGCAGGCCCACTCTGAGTGACACGCTAAAGGGTAAACGCTGCATTAGTTTCGAATCGGGTCAAATTATGTTTTTCAGCCCGCTCGTTTAAACGATGAGAGATCGTGCCCGTTCGTTATTTTCTTTTATCCATGTCGAGGGTGTTTCATTTGGCGGGCTGTTTTTTGTTTTTGAGCTGGGCAGCCTCGTACAGAAGTAAAAGTGTCGGCCAGTAATTTCTAGAGAAACACATGTTAACTTCTTGCATTTGTGGACGAGACTTCCTTTCAGTGTGAGTGGACGCCCGAGGCTACGAAACATGTCGCAGGCTTCCCCAGTTCGAGTGGGCCCAGTGTGACTGGAAGGCCACCGAACAGGGCCAGGGTCTGGTCCTAAGCGTTGAGGAGAAGAGCGAGAATTTCAATACACTGAATTCTCCATTGAGCGACGGTCTTTGGTCTGGTGCTCATTTGCTTTCGTCCGAACCTGGGCCGAATTTGGTTCGGCGAACACCGTGATCTCCACGCTACACTAGTGGTTCTCTCTGGAGTCATGTCCCATTCCGTTTTCCCCCATTTCCATCCAGTGCTATGCACGGCTCATGCTGTCCGCCAGGAAACAGTCAGTCATCCAGCCAGCCACCATCGTGCCATACCTCTATCACTTGTCAGCTCGTACTAATACAGATAAGACGGATAGGCTCATCATCGACTATCCTGCAATCTTCAGTCCCATTCGTAAAATTATACTTTCAACGTAGCTTCTAGTACGCACTGATCAACCTTGACCATACTATGGAGCCACCCACGCACATCCATGGCCTTCCTGACGACATTCTTATTAAGATCTTCTGGCACACTGAGCAGCCGATTCCTAGACAAACGGGCAGCGACTGCTTGTGGGACTCAGACTCCTCGATTCCCGCCCCAAAGTACCTCTCTGCAAACCTTTCAAACGAGAATGCCATTCGTCAGGAAAAGAAGACTCCGTTACCCATTCCTCCTCCCTCTGCGGACGCGCACCGTATTCTCCTCGTCGCGGCCGTCTGCCGTCGCTGGCGCTGTCTGACTCAGCGTTCCGTCTCCGCGCTTCTCGTACGAGACAATCTCGTCGTGTCTCGCCAGTCTCTCGCGAGTGCTGTCGCTGCCTTACCGAACCTGACCCATCTTCACCTCTGCGACGGCAGCGTCGAGACTCTCGACGACGCCTTCCTCGCTCACCTCGCGTCGTCATGTCCCAACCTCGCCATCCTCCACGTCGGAACCAGAATCGCGCCTGTGAAGTGTAAAGGTTATTATGGCCGTATATGCGAGAAGGACGCGCTACCTATAACAACCGCTGGTCTGGATTTATTTTTCCGGCACTGCACTCGGCTAGAGCAACTTTCACTTTACTGCCTCGACCGTTGTGTCAGATTCCCCGCGTCCTTCTTTCAGCTGCCGCATCTGCACACTCTCGCGCTCACACATGCTTCCTCGCTCGAAACTCTGGGTTTTGCCAGCCTTACATCTCTCACCACCCTGCACATTGCCTCCAAAAATGTCTTGGATGAAGTGGCAAACATCGTTCGCCGCTCACGCATCACCACCTTCTCGGACTCAGATGAAGCCGTGGCATTTCACCGCGACTCCCTCGTCTCTGCAGACTTCAACATGGCACAGCTGCCTCTGCTCAAGCCGTCTTCCGTGGTGTTTGCCGATTTCGACACCACGCAGCTGGGTCTGCTCAAGTCGTCAAGGCTCAGGAAGGCGGTCCCGTGTGCCGCCCTAGAACGGCTTGAGATTGTTATGGAGCGTCCTAGATCCGTTACGCCGACCTTTCAACTCGCAGAGCTGATGCCGAGGCTCCGCAAGCTGACCATTCGCCAGAGTCTGGAGTATGATGACCCTAGGCCAATTGCACTCAGCTTCGCTTCTCTAACTCTCTTGGAGAGCTTGACATTTACAGAATGTTACCAAAGAGACATTTTTTGGGGTTATTACGACCTGCCGGAGGGTATCGGCTGCCTGCTTGCCCTGAGAACTCTCGTGCTGCACAATCTGCCTCTCATGGCCCTCCCGGACGCCCTCTGCCACCTGCCTTCCCTCGAGACATTCGTCCTCATTGGAAGCATCTCCAGCCCGCAGGCCCTCCAGCTGCCCGCAGATTTCTGCTGCCTCACGTCACTCCAAACCCTCGCCATTGTGAAGATGCCTCGGGTGAGGCTGCCGGATAATATTGGAGAGCTCCCACGGCTGCACACTCTGTATTTGAACAGTCAGAATCAGCAGCCGCGACTGCCACTCTCCTTCACCCAGCTGACTTCATTGACCAGGCTTGAACTTGCCGCGTGCACGATTCAAGAGCTGCCCGAGGACTTGGGGAACCTCACTAACCTGCACGAGTTGCACATTCGCTCCTGCCCTCGAATTCAGCGGCTTCCAGAGTCCCTCACAAGCCTCTCACGCCTTGAAACCCTTACGGTTGATGACTGTTTGAAGCTCGTCTCGGTTCCCAGGAGGCTAGACAGCCTTGGGAGGCTCAAATGGCTGGAGCTGACTGGCTGTTATGATCAGACTGGGCCTCCTGCGTCTCTGCCGCTCTCCCTCGAGGTCTTGAGTCTTGGAAACAGCTACCACGTGGCTGATCTGCCAGACGTCTCCGTGCTGCCTTGGCTGAGAAAGCTCTCCTTGAAGCTGGTTGGTGCGGAGGAGAGGATGGCTGTGGGCAGCAGTTTGGCGCGCGTGAAGCAGGTGGAGCTGGCGCTGCAGGAGGAGGCTGTGGAGCTGCCCTTCTCCCTTGCGCTGCTCCCCCAGCTGCACACGCTGGTCATGTGGAACGCGGGGAAGATGCAGCGGCTTCCAAGCGACATGGGATGGGCTGTGCCGCAGCTGAGGGTTCTGCAGATCCACTGTGCGCGGGAATTGAGGGAGCTGCCGGACAGCATTGGCGCTGCATCCCGCCTGCGCCAGCTGCACCTCTTTGACTGCCCCGCTCTGCACCACCTGCCTGCTTCCCTCACCCAGCTCTCATGCCTCCACCAGCTGCATGTGGAAAACACCGGCCTGCGCAGCCTTCCTTCAGGGATTTCGCAATTGACCCGGCTGCGCAGTCTTAGCTTGCATGGCTGTCTACGGCTGCAGGGTCTGCCAGAGGGCCTCACGGAGCTGAAAATGCTGCAGTACTTGGGAATTAAGAACTGCAGCGCAAAGCATGTGCGCGGGGAGTGGAACTATGAGTGCAATCACTGGGACGTAAAGCCGTATGGGCTCCGGAGCATGTACGGATTGAAAATAGATGCGTAGATTTGAATGGCTTGGCTGTTAGATTGGTCGCTGGGATGAATTTAAGCTAAGAATTCTTGTACATGCATCCACCACCCTACACAGTAAAACGAGGGTCTTAACTAGTGAAGGCAGATCCAACTTGAAAACGTGTTCTGACTCCCCTCCTGTCGCTGTCGTTGTCTGCCCTCCCCTCCCACCAGGACCAGGCCCCTAGATTCGTTTTGAGGCACGCTGATCGATCAGCGTGCACCCCTGTTAAAACTCTGTGAGTCAGCGTGGCCCCAAAAGTTTAGGCTGAAAAATTAGACAACTCAAAGTTTTTTAGGCTCAACTTTCAGCGTTAGCTGTAAAACTCGAAGCCTACGGCTAAAATAGTGACCCCCCCCCCTTCTAGTGGGCCCACTTGAAAACTCAAACTACGGTAACTTTGTGAAGGTTATGACGGTCGAAGTGTTGGTTTGTTCCGTGTTCTAAGCTGGTAGCAGTTCACCCCATCCCAACTTGAAATATCGCGTGGACGCGAGATGAGGTGCAGCGGCCGCTAGGCACTCCAGCTCAAATTGCCTGTCCTCATGAACATCACAGCCAAGGGCAAGCTCACCCCCGACGGACGAAGGACATGAATAGTAAAAAACAAGACTCGCAGCGTAGTCAAGGCGGCACAAAGCAGCAAAGTCAACAAGCTCAGCAACTAAGGCAGACGACGCAGCAGACCTTAAGGAAGGGTCAGTCACAACCGTGGCAAGAAGAAGAGTGACAGTCGGTTTCGTAGTACGGACAAGGTCTGACTCAGGGTCAGGAACGTGAGGAAGAGAAGACGCAGGAGGAGGTGGCAGGACAACGCTTTGTGGAACAAAGGAAGGACGAAGTGCCATGATGTGTGTGCCAGGGACAGGTGGAGGACGAGGACGCATAGCACGGCGAGAATGGACAGGCGTGACAGGATGCGACGCAAGCTCTCGACGCTCAGTGAAGGACTCTGTCACCGCAGTGTGAGGAGCAGGAGCAGGCAGTGGGGAACCAGACAGTAGCTGTGGCTGAGACTGGACAGTCGGTGGGAACAGTAACGGAAGAGTAGAACCAGCAACCGGGAACTAAGTAGCAGCAGGCGGGAGACTGAGAAGGTGACGAAGCGCAGACTGCTGCGGCTGAGTAGTCGCACCCCTAGAACCTCTAGCTCCGGTAGCAACAACACCCCCAGAACCAGTACCTCCAGCTCCACCACCGGGACTGCCCCAACAGACAGCCCACTCGTGAAGCTGCTGCGGCGAGAGCGACTCCTGCCGACTAGCACCTCCAACTCCAGTACCTCCAGTAGCATCGTCCAGTGTCAGCACCGCCAGTACCCCCAACTCGCGGAACAATGGCACTAGCACCTACAGGGCCAGCACCTCCATGTCAGAATCCCAACCACTAACCACTGGGATAAAAGGGCATTTTGTGTAGCGGGTGAGTGTGTCCATAACCCCCCAGGCCAACGTGCCTGTAACCCTTCCCTAGGATCAATCGGGGATCTCCAGTGGACCTCTGACACCCCCCCGCACTGGGATGCTTAAGATGCACACACCAAGATTCGGACCCGAGACCTTCGCTCTGATAACTTGTCAGAATCCCAACCACTAACCACTGGGATAAAAAGGGATTGTTTATGTAGCGGGTGAGTGCGCCCATAACCCCCTCAGGCCAACGTGCTTGTAACCCTTCCCTAGGATCAATCGGGGATCTCCAGTGGACCGCTGACACTCCAGTACCCCCAGTAGCACCTGAACCTCCAGTACCAGTACCTCCAGCATAGCCAACGCCAAGAACACCAGCACTAGCACCTCCACGGCCAGCACCTCCAGAACATCCAGTAGCGCATGTGCATCCAGTACTAGTACCTCTAGTACGGCCAACTCTAGGAACACCAGCACTAGCACCTCCAGGGCCAGCAGCTCCATCACGTCCAGCGCCACCACCAGGACTGCCCGCAGCATCACCCACAGCAGCAGCACCTCTAGTACCTCCAGTAGCACCAGTAGTCCCAACACCTCCAGCTCTAGCAGTACGAGCACGGCTAGCTCCACCACCAGGGCTGCCCGACTGTACTGCCCACTCGCGAAGCCACTCCGGCGAGAGAGTCTCCTGCTGACGTGTACCAGCGCCTCCAGCACTAGCAGCCCCAATACCACAAGTAGCAAAAACTCCAGCTCTAGCAGTTCCAGTACCTCTTGCTCGAAGACGGCTAGCTCCACCACCAGGGTTGCCCCACTGGACAGCCCACTCGCGAAGCCGCTCCGGCGAGAGAGCCTCCTGCCGACTTGTACCAGGACTACCAGCACCAGCACCTCCAGTACCTCCTGTACCCAGAGGACACTCAGCACCCCTAGAACCAGCACCCCGAGAGTCCGCACCCCCAGTGGCACCACGACCTCCAGCTCCAGAGTCCACAGCGACATACTGCAATGGCGGTGAAGACGCTCGAGGCGGAAACCTAGGAGGGGCCGCCAAGCGCGGGGAGCGGCGAGGGGTCACGCTGATAGCAGGAGTCGGGTCAACCCCCTCAGCTGGGCCAGAGGTGTCAGAGGAGACCTCGACTGGCTCAACCAAGGGGGATGGGTCAACCTGAGACACACCTTAGGGAGCAGAACCCTGCGGGGGGAGTGGGGCTACCCCGGAGGGGGGGGGTCGGAGACCAATGCAAGAGGCGGGAGGGGCACGGGGGAATTGCGGTGAGGGTGGAGACGGTAGAAGCAGACAGACTCGTCAAAAGTGGCGTCTTGGGAGGAGAGGACACGACGAGAACCCGGGTGGTAAAACCGCCAGCCCGGGGCGTCGGTAGGGAAGCCAGGGAAGACGCAGCGAAGAGTGCCGGGAGAGAGCTTCCTCGCGGGGGGGTCGCGAACAAGCGAAAGGGCACCCTAGACCCGAAACGGCAACGCATCACCAACCTCGCCCGTCCACCGCAGAGGTGAAAAAAGGTCTCCGGGTGGGAGACACGGGGCCAGGGTTGCGTTGCTCAGCAGCGTATCGGACCGCAAATGGCCACAGAAAATGGGGAGCAGCCGCATGGACGATGGAGGTGCGAGCAGCCTCCATCACCAAGCCAAAGCGACACTCTGCAATCCCATTCTGTTGTGGAGAGGCAGGAGCGTGAACGTCTGGTAGATGCCCTTAGCACCACAGAAGTCCTCGAGAAGGCTGGAGAAAAACTCACCACTTCGGTCAGAGTGCAGTCGCAGGACCAGGAGGTCGTGCTGAAACCGAGCATTGAGCTGGCGATGGACAGCACGGATCCAGCGGATCAGGACACTTTGGACCTCCGCCTTGGTCTGCAAGGGGAAGACCGTGGTGTAGCGCGTGTAGTCATCTACAACCAGCAAGAAGTAGCGCTCTCCGCCCTGTCCAGGGACTTGGGCTGGACCCCACACGTCCATGTGGAGGGTCTGCAGAGGAGCTGTGGTCGGAGGAAACGACGAGGAGTGAGGAGCAGTGCGCTGCCGCCCCTCGACACAGGGAAGGCACGGCGGCACAAGCGACCTCGGGAGCGGGGGCAGGGACCTGGGAAGCCCAGACACAAGGAGACGGGAGTGCATGCCACGAAGGTGTGGTAAGGAGGGGTGGCCAAGACGGTGGTGCCAGAGGAGAGTCTGGTGCATGAGGAGACGACACGAGCAAGACGCAGCGACCTCAAGCGACGTAGCTACCTAACCTGATTCAGCTACCAGTGCAGACTCAGTGGTCAGTGTGTACAGGCCAGATCCAGGCCTCCGAGTGAACGTGGCGAGGTGCTGACCAGTGCGCGAGTCCATACAGATCGCCACGTGCTCGCCTCTAGGCTGGGTGACAGTGACCCACTGGTCCTGGAGGACAATGGTAGCCACCAAGTTCTTAGCGAACGAGGGGAGGTGGAGACCTGTGAGGAGGCCGGAAGGGGCCGTCGGATAGGGGAGAAAAGTAGCGCCACGCGCGACTACCGGGCCCCCGGAGGGGTCGGCCAGTGTGACAGGGACAGGGGCTGTGAGCGGTGTGACTGTGGTGCAGTCGAGGAAGAAGCAGCGAGACGCACCTGAGTCTAGGGTAAAAGTGTGCAAGGCCTCCTCAGGCTCTGCCCCTGTGCTAGCTGAGTCACACGCACCGAGGCTAGTAGCCTCTACCCCACCAGGTGCCTCTACACCCCCAGTACGAGTACCCCGAAGCCCTCCGCCACCGGGGCGGCCCCACCGGACAGCCCACTCACGAAGCTGTTGCGGGGAGGGAGTCTCCAGCGGACGCTGCTGCTGCTGCTGTACACCCCCGGAACCTCCGCATCTACTAGCGTCACTACCAGCAAGAGTAGACTCACAGGTACCTCCAGTAGTAGCACCCCACCGGACAACCCACTCACGACGCTGCTGTGGTGTAAGCGGCTTCTGCTGACGAACATGGCTAGCTCCGCCACCGGGGCCGCCCCACCAGATAGCCCACTCGCGAAGCTGTTGCGGCGAGAGAGACTCCTGCACACTTGGCTCTGCTGACGTAGGACAGTGGTAGTGGCCATGGCAGTCAGTGGTAGCTAGTAGCAGCAGTGAAGGAGCAACAAGGGAAGAGCGTGAGTAACTGGGTGCTCTAGTGCAGGTCGCTCGTGGGGTAGGGTTGGCTGTGTTTGTCGTGCAGCGGTTAAGAGATGTGCACGGGCAGGGCACGACGGGTGCGCATAGGCGCTGGGCAGCAGGCGGGTGCAGCAGCGGCGGCGACCGGCATCAGCAGCGGAAATGACTGGCAATAGTGGCAGCAGCAGCAGACAGCCCCTGCGACTTGGCAGTGCTGGGCAGCGTGCAGGGCAGTGCTAGCGGCGGCCAGGCAAGGCAGGGCAGTGTTTGGCAGTGTGCAGGGCAGCACTAGCGGCAGCCAGGCAGGGCAGGGCAGCGCTGGGCAGCGAGCAAGGCAGTGTTGGCGGCGGCCAGGCAGGGCAGGACAGCGCTGGGCAGTGGGCAAGGCAGTGTTGGCGGCGGCCAGGCAGGGCAGGGCAGCGCTGGCGGCGGCAGTGGCAGTGGCCG